GGCGGGTCTCGAACCCGCAGGCTCAGGCAATCCACTCACCTCAGCCTCCCAAAGGCGCAGGATTACAGGCTGAGCCACCGAGCCTGGCTAAAACAATTTCAAAAAGGATTAAAAACTTGGGGGAAGGAGTGACAATAAAAGAAGTGCCTTCGTGGGGAGACACCTCTTATCAACAGGGATGCCTGAGTGAAGCATATTTGTATACCTAACCCTTAACTGTACCCCACAATATCATAATAAAAAATATTGTTTATAAAAAAAAAAAAGAAGTGCCTTCACTGTAAAGGATGTGGAAATCATACATATGTGCTGCAGTCTCCCACAGGAACAGGCCTTTCCTCCATAGTACATGTTTCTATGTTATGAGTTTGCTCATTCCTGACTGGTAAAGCGAGGAATGATGTCAGCCTTTAATGTAGTACGTGATTCCTCACAGCTGAATACGAAAAACCCTGATGTAATGCAGGCAACACGCTGTGGAGAAACACAGTCTCATCATGAGGCCCCTTCACCCCACCTTTCTCTAGGTTTGCCCTTGTACTCTGTCTAGAAAACACAGGACCAGTCTCTCTGATCTTTGGGTGTTATATGGGCAATTTTTCTTTTTTTTTGAGTTGGAGTCTCACTCTGTCGCCCAGCTGGAGTGCAGTGACATGCTCACAGCCGCCACAACCTCTACCTGCTGGGCTCAGGTGATCCTTCCGCCTCTGCCTTCCAAGTAGCTGGAACAAGATGTAGGCCACCCCACCTGGCAAATTTTTCTTGATTTATTGTAGAGACGAGGTCTCACCAAGTTGCCCAGGCTGGTCACAAACCGGCGATTTTTCTTTGAAATTAGGATGGTATGGCACTCTACAGTACCAGGTGAAGGATCATCCTACATAACTGCTACACTCTGCTGCTGAGGGGCAAGCAGATGGTGAAGAGGAAGAGGAATTCCAGCAGTTTCCCCTATGAAAGCTTTCCACTCCTTATTGATTTTCCACGTTAAGTGTGATTAAGGAGCATTTGCAGTGCATAGAAAATAACCATACATGCAGAATGTCGTGAGATTGTACTTTGTAACTTAAGATTCTACATGGAGCCATCCAAGCAGTTTCTTTTTGAAAGAAGGATGGCAAAAACAGCAAAAATCGATGTTTGTTTTTTTTTTCTACCAGTGACAAGAGAAACACTAGACAATGAGCCAGAGCTACCCATCTCTGGCAATAATACATTTTCTACAAAGCTGTCCAGTTTCTCAACCTGCCACTTCTGACATGGCCTTCAGCCACCTGCCACTTCTCAACCTGCCACTTCTGACATGACCTTCAGCCACCTCAGTCCCTTCCATCAAGGTATCAGCATGTTTTGTGTGTGTTGTAAAGTCTCTTATATTTACCGTGGTAACTCTCTCAGCATTAGGACTCTAACGTGTCTTTTAACTTTGCTAATATTTTTATTAAGATTGCTGCATATTAATGTTCTGGTTACAAGGCTGCATGCTACCTATGCCCTACCCAGTCCTATTTTCCTGTAAGTAGAGTGATAAAATGAGAGGCTGCATGTCAAGAAGCAGGCACAGGCTTTGTACAACAGATATGTCCCAGCGGGCAAGTGGCTCTGGCTTATTGTTCTGTTTTCTTTTTCACTAGTTTAGAAAAAAAAAAATCCAGTGTTTGCTGTTTTGTCATTGTTATATTAACAAAGAACTGCTTAGACAGTCCCAAATAGGACCTTAAGCCCTACAAGTACAATTTTGCTGCATTCTGTTTTCTAATGGCTATTTTCTGTTCATTACAGGTTTTCCAGTAATACAAGGTTTCCAGAATACATATAGAGCTAACAGTATAATCAGAATGGAATGCAAGAGTGTTTACTTAGAAGCATACAAGGCCAGGCATAGTGGCTCACGCCTATACTCCCAACATTTTGGGAGGCAGACATGAGAGGATTGCCTGAGCACACCAGTTTAAGACCAGCCTGGGCAACTTGGCAAGACATCATCTCTACTATAAATCAAAAAATTAGCTAGGTGTGGTGGCACATGCCTGTAGTTCCAGTTACTTGGAAGGCTGAGGAGGAAGGATTGCGTGAGCCCAGTAGGTCAAGGCTGCAGTGGCTATGAGTATCCCACTGCACTCCAGTCTGGGCAACAGAGTGAGACTCCAACTCAAAAATAAAAAATTTTTAAAAAGAAGCATACAAAAAAGAGAGATTGAAGAAACAGAAGTTTGTTCCACCTGCATTATCTAGACAGGTTCCTTGATACCTACATATCTGTCCAAGGATAAGAAATATAGAGAATGAGCCGGGCTCGGTGGCTCAGCCTGTAATCCCGCGCCTTTGGGGAGGCTGAGGTGAGTGGATTACCTAAGCCTATGGGTTCGAGACCCACCTGGGCAGCGAGACCTCATCTCTACAATAAATAAAAAAATTAGCCGGGCGTGGTAGCGCGCACCTGTAATTCTGGCTACTCAGAAGGCTGAGG